TGGGTGAATACATCTCATACTACTGATTTACTGGTAGTCTCGAAACAATACTTAAATCCAAAGATGAAATAAAAACTGACTCAATAAAAACGTCAGTTCTATTCATATCATTGTGGGAAAATTGTTCTACCAGTCCTTCATCACCTTAAACGAAATTGGGTGAATACATCTCATACTACTTATTTACTGGTAGTCGCGAAACTCTACCGACATAAAGCAGCCAACCAAATCAGGCAATGCCTCATGAAGATCGCAAAGTGAGGTATAAGAAGAAAGCATGACCTTAGCTGGCCACCTTTCTTGGTTTCGTGCTTTGGTGATTGTTCGTGAATAATACTTTCTTAATCTGACCATGTCCGTGACATGTCTTTTGCATAGTTCTACAGACAAAAGTCTAATGGAATCCGGTGCTGCCAAGCTACTAATCCCTTCGATTCGACTTCTCAAACGAAATAAAAGATGTGCCAGTATCAATCTATTATGGGATTCTTCATATATTAATGGTATTCTCTTGAGCCCTATTTGACAGTCTATAAGGCTCTACTCATGAGTAATGCTATCTGGTGATTTTTATACTCATAAAAAGGCGCATTTATATTTTAATTTGGGCACAGCAAATTTTTACCACCGATATTGCTAGTTCTGTATGCACCAATTGCATGATAATGAATGTATCTCATTAAATGTGCACACTTATTGCCATCCATCGAAGTTGAGTGTGAAAAATGGCAGAAGAATCCAGCTACTCATGCACAACAAGTAATCAAGCCGGATGGCTTTAGGGTGTAGTGTTGAGAAGAGGAGAGTTGGCGCTGAGAATGGGCGAAGAAGCGAGGAAGACGCCTGCGTATCGGACGGCAATGGCCTCGCAGGATGCGGTTCAAGGCGTGTCGGAAGGTTGGATTGAAAATGTGATAAATGAACAAGTTGAGCATCGAGGCCGAGTAGCCGATCCATTCGAAGAGTTGCAGCAGCCAAACTGGGATGGTCTGCGTGAAGAAGTCGACCAGAAAGAGGAAGAAGAAGGGCAAATAGGAGAAGACGAAAATGGCAAAAAGGATGCCCAGCACCTTGACGGCGCGTCGGCTCTTGGCCAACGAGTCGCCCAACGCCGTGACGCTGGGCAAACGGTTCTGGTGGTCAGGCCGCCCGGCAGCCAATAGGAGGCTGAGACGTGGGCCACGACAACTGCCCATCGGCTTCACGGTGGCCCAGTGACGTCGGCCTCGGGACAAGTTGGAGTGGCCGGAATGACAAGAGTCGAGGCGACATGAGGCTGTTGCTGTGGTACCTGCGGAGAAGTAGGCCGAGCCCGGCAACCGATTTCCGAGGGGTGACGACCCAAAAGAGCCGGTCTTACTTTTGCACGTCGGGGACATGGGCTGTCGGGCTGTGGAAGAGGGGACGGGGAGGAGAGGCAACGACCGTCGTGAAGGGGTTGGAAGGGAAGAATAGTCGATAAGACTGTTGGATGTGGTACAGCAAGAATGACGACCGGCCGAGAGAAGATAGTCTCTCAGTGTCGGCTTGTAGAGGGAGGAAAAAGTGGAGGAACTCGAGTTGACGGGAAGGGAAGCCGAGGTTTGATGGCACTGCAGCAACATGACGATGGTATTTCGACAGGAATCCTCTTCTGGCGACTCGAGAGATCTAAGCAAATCTATCTTTCGGTCGGTCGGGATGGCGATTTGAAAGTCCGTCCTACTCCAACACTTGCCTGCGCCCAGTTGCAATGGCCAGGCACACAAACATTGCCGCCAAGACTGCCTCTTGCCCTTGACAACAACTGGAATCGGCAGACGGTAGGCAGCCACGCAGCGGGTCAGACGAGTTTCCGTGTTGACGTGGAGCCAACCGTCGTCTGGTCTTGTCTTCAAGCGCAAAGAAGTCCTCGGAGTGGCGGCTCGGAAGAGACCATTTTGGTATTTCGCTTTTTCCCATTCTCCTCTCACCTGCCTCTTTTTCTTCTTCTTCTTCCTCTTCTTCTTCTCCTCACCCTTCTCTTCTTTCTGGTCCTCCTCTTCTTCCTCTGGCCCACGGCAACTATTCGTCAAGTTGATACAATTGCTTTCCTGTTTCACATGCAAATAGGCGTTGCTATCTAGTCTTAAAAATGGGTGTTTTTGGCCATCTTGGCGGCGAATAATCAAAAATACTGTCAAAATATATGTGATGGACATCACGATGAGAGGCAACAAGAATGTAACCGTTACCGAGGTGATGACAAATACGGTGTTGTGCGGCCCACAGCCTTTATAGGACAGCCGCAATGGACGCCAAGTTGCATTAATTTGGACAGACATTTCAGAGTCTGAAAGTGACAAGAAATTCGCAGAGTCTTGAGCAAATATATCCGATTGGCTCAAATTAATCTCGCCTGAATGATCCGAATCACAAACCGTGGAATCGTGATACAGGGAAATGTTATCCTGCCTCTGAGATCGCCTGATCAGATCTGTGTCGTCCAGATACAATGAGGCGATGAAAAGCGGTCCGGCGATCGCCATGGGCACTACCCAAGCAATGCAGATATTGCACACGAGGGAGCGATTTGGCCGACGACAATGAAAGCGTAGGGGATTGTGCAAAGCAATGTAGCGATCAAGTGATATTGCACAGAGATGAATTATTGTGGAGGCGGTGAAGAAGACGTCAAGACTATACCAAGCAAGACACATCGCTCTGGGTACCTCAATATGAGGAATAAGGTCTGAAAATCAAACAAAATTGTGGAATAAAATAAATAAAATTAGATGTTTAAAGCATTAAAGAGAGGCATAAAGTTTCATTTCTGGGCCTCCAACTGTTTTATAATCTTGTACTTATTTATTGCCACGCATTTGGTAACTAAAGTAAATGCAACATTTATATTTTAACTGGCTTTTTACCTGGTATATGATAGCTAGAAGTCCATCTCTGATAGTAACATGTCTGCATGTTTTTAAACGTTTTAAATAAGCATTTTTCCATTAAATTAAATTTTTGCGCTCTATTATTCGAATATGAAAATGAACATCGGTTAACTTTTGGGATAACTAAAATTGGCTACAAGCATCAATTGAGTTTTTTATAGCTCACTATATTACTTTCGGAATAATTTATATAATGAAAATCAAATTCCGTATTACTAAATTTGATATAAAAACGTTAAAATAAAGCGATTTAGGCCAAAGACTCCCTGCTGAAATGTCTTTTCATTAATGAAGAAGAGCTATATTTGGTTAAGTAGGTCTTGAAGAGCCAAATCACTCCAAGAAAGTGCATAAATCTCCAAAAAACATTTATTGCTATACATTTTATACAGGTCATTTGTAGTATGGTCGAATTAATGACAGGTGTATACGTGGGAAGAAAAAAGATTCATTTAAAGTCCAAATAACCCGCTATGGTTCCACTAGCATATATTGCCAAAATTCCAGAAAAGAGTATTATAGTGATGGATGGAATTCATCGTATAAAAGCAAATATTTGATGAATATTGTCACATGCAACTGAAAATATGAATGAAAATCAGGCTAATAGATATTTTTAATTGCACATTTTGGGTTCAAAAAGCTAAATTCTAATGAGATTTGAAAAAGAGTGACACAGCATTAGTTGTGTTAACTAAATACGTCTAGTTCACTTTAAGCTGATTAGCAATTTTAATATGCTTCTCTCTGACTAATATCGAGATTAGTCGAGATTTTACAACTTCTATAAGCCTTCATTGCTCTTGATCGTTCTCTTGACTCACTTGTTATCGTTTTTGTGACTTAATTGCATTTAATTTAATTTTTTACTAAAATATAGTGAGGGGGATGGTTGTCCCAAAGAGGCGCTTCACACAAACCTTTTTAACCCTTATTTTACTTTTATACTTTATGTGAAGTAAAATAATTTCTTCATTCTTAATACCAAATACAAAACTAGACACAGATGAAAGATTTTTAGATGGATTTTTCTCGATATCTAACTTTTATGTCAAAAGTGGAGAATTTTTTCACTTGTTATTATTTTGGAAAAATAAGTATATTATTTTATCATTGCATGCAAAATAAAAATTTTCAAGTTATGCCGTAATTCAAATTTTCCGTCAATTTCAGTTCAAACTAACTCTTCCCTACCTATCTATGTCTCAGTGGCAAACTAGGCATCTAACTTAAAAAATCTATTTTATAATGGAATTGGATTAAATTTGATGCTTTGTATACTGATGAAATTAACGAATAGAAGCAATGTGAAAAAAATTTCATCATATTGTTATCTTTTATTGGTCTACAACTTCAAAAAACTCAATTTAGAATTTGTTGATGCAAAATGCTATCAACAAAAATCGAAATTAAATTTTTTTTCAGGAGCCATAAAATGACTGTTATTTAATAAAACCTGAAGCTTATAAATTAACGCAAATAGCATTTTAATTATAAAATTTATTCATAAATATAACTGTCTGCAATGTGGTAAAGACTGTTATCCTATTATTTTTTCATATTCATATGATAATTTAGTGAGACTATATCTCAGATGAACAAGTTTTTTTAACTAACTATTCCAGATCTATGACCAATTGTTCAAAGTTGAAGTACTTTGTTTGTATTAATTTTTCCAAGAATTCTATATTAATTTGCCCAGGTATGAAGACCAAGATGGTGTGGCCTTTTATGTGGTCACAGTCTCCTTTCGTTGTATAGAAGTTGGTTGACCTTGTTTTCGCAACATGGTCATATTGGTAGGAAGACGTAGAGGAACGCACCTTGTCCGGAGTCCATTTTTTGCATGATCATTTCCAAAGTTTAACCATGGAAGTGGTAAATTCCCAACCGTTTCGCCGGGATCTTAGTCGACATCGTCAGTGAGTATCGTCATTCTTAGCACCACACAACAACTCGTCAAAGAGACAAGTGAAGCCGATCCTTTGACCAAACGTGTTCTAAACAATTGTGGTAACTCTCCTTCTGTCATGGGCAGAAGAATTGCGATACTCACTGAAAATGCCGACTACGATGCCAGCGAAACGTTTGAGAAAGTACCACGTCCACAGTTCGACTTTGAAAAGGATCATCCTGATAATTTACTCCGGACTAGAATTGTTCCTCTAAGTCTTCCTACCAATATGACCATGTTGCGAAAACAAGGTAAGCCAACTTCTATACTACGAAAGAAGAGTGCGACCACACAAAAGGCCACACCATTTTGGTCTTCATACCTACGAAAAATATTATAATCTGAGCAAATTAATATGGAATTCTTGGAAAAATTAAGACAAGCAAAGTACCCCAACTTTGAACAATTTGTCATAGATCTGGAATAGTTAGTTAAAAAAAACTTGTTCATCTGAGATATAATCTTACTAAATTATACTACTAATATGAGAGAATAATATGATAATAGTTCTAATCTTATTGCAGACAGTTATATTTATGAAGAGATTTTATAATTAAAATGCTATTTGCGTTAATTTATAAGCTTTATATTTTATTAAATAACAGTCACGGTTAAACTTTGGAAACGATCATGCAGACAATA